AAAAAAAAAAAAAAAAACAGAATAATTATGGGAAATACTGACTTGTTAATATCGCCAGTTACAGTGCCCTGAAATTCTGAAGGAAATTTCAACTCAACTAACATAACAGGCTCCAATATAACAGGCTTTGCTGCCGTATAGCACTGCATCATAAATAATGGAAAAACAATAATATCAATCATTGTGTTGTTATTGTTGTTATTGTTGTAATCAAATACAGATGAAGCGAATTGGAAATTCTAAAAATTTTGCTTAATTAGTCTTCCATCACTGAATAATGCACCTGTCTGAAGGCATATATAGAAGCCAATTTAAAAGCAAGTTCACTTGAATCCACGGTATGAGCTGCACCGTCGTTCAAAACAATACGAATATTTTCCACTGGATGCCCGATTAGAGAGCCCCTGTCCATATGAAAAAAAAAGGAAAACTATGTTAAATGTGGCTCTATTGGATAATAACTGCATTTAAAAAAAAAAAAAAAAAACTCCATGAACTGCACGTGTGGTAATATGGCATTTAATCACAATTACTAAGCACTCTTTAAAACATCTCGCCCTGTAAATACCGAAAAAAAGTCGAAGTGCGGCATTTTTTTAGATCAAAACGCATAAGGTATTGATGTATAATACAACTTCAAACTGTGAAAAGGCAAAAAAAAAAAAAATTAAATAAAACTAATAAAAATCAATTCATACGAGTTGGCAGCCTCTTTAAAACCCTTTTCAATTGCTGGCACAAAATTAGAAGGTATAGCTTGTCCCACAAGCATGTTCTCGAATTCGAACTTAGTACCGGAGCCCGGTGGAAGTGGTTCCATATACCTGTCAGAAAGAGAAATTTTTCTTTTTTCAAAAAGAAGGAAAGAGGAAAAGTTAAGAATAGATCACTAAAAGTGCTAACTTACCCGATAACCCTTCCGTATTGACCTTGTCCCCCACTCTGCTTCTTGTGTAGATAGTCGAACTCAGCACGCTGAGTAATGGTCTCTCTGAAGTTGACACGTGGCTTCCCAACCATTGCATCAACCTTAAATAACCAACAAAAAATACTATGATGAAATCAAGCTAACGAAATTCTTCCCTTATTACTGAAAAAAAAAGAAGACAAAAACCTTGTACTCCCTCCGCATGCGCTCGACATATATATCCAAATGGAGTTCCCCCATTCCTGATATAATAGTCTGCACAGAGAATCATTGCAATGAGAATAATATTTTGTATAGCACATTCAAAGATAACAGGAATTTTTTGAAGTTCATGGGATGTTGAACCAGTAGAGATCATACTTGGCCACTCTCGGGGTCTAAACCGACACGGAAAGTAGGGTCCTCTTTCTGAAAGCGATTCAGGGCTTTCGAAAACTGCCAAAAGAAGATTTATATAAGTGAATATATATTCCTTGATAAAACCAAGTTTTACAATCATGTAATGAAGTAACAATATATATTTAATGACTCACATTTCCTCCAGAATCTTTCGAGACTGCTGATATAGCCAATGACATAACTGGCTCAGGCACATTCATGGAAGTCATGGTGTATCTGACTGACCCGTCAGTAAATGTATCCCCTAGTAACACAGTGTAGAAGCAAATGAAATTAAGTTTCAGATAGTAAGACGAGAAAAGACAGATCTCATGATCGACACATTACGGTTTACCTAAAAACAAACCGAGTTATTCAAGGCTAGCGAACAAAGGGGAATGATGTGAAAAACTTGTGTCTATTGTAATAGTACCTGAAGCACAATCTACACCAAATACAGCAACTATTTGTCCTGCATGAGCTTGTTGAATGTCCTGTAGAAGGGGAAAAATAATAAATGATGAAAACAAGGACTAGAAAATGAAAAGCATCTAAAAAAGACAATCCTTTTTGATAAAGAGATCACGTGTATAAAAAAAACATGTCATTTCAGCAGAACAGAAACAGATCCAAGTTCATTTCCCCAGGAGAATCCCAAAATATCATTTCAGAATCACAATATACAGCTATATCAGGTCCTATGACTAACCTCCATTTCGTTTGAATGCATCCGAACCAGTCGAGGGACCTACAAGAAAGTCAAATAAGGGGTCAGGTTCTCAGCTATCCAGAAACAGCCCAATGCTTCAATTTCACTCATCTCCGGATGAAATCATTTCATAAAACAGGGCTGTATTTTCAGAAGAGTAAAATGGGTGCAACCTTCACAAACTAGTTTACAATTTTAGATGCATTTTGTCATATTGACAGTACCTTCAAAAACTAAATTTTATAATATGTTAATTCTGACAACAAGCTTACCTTAACTTTTTTGCCGGTGTTCACATTAATTATAAAATCGCCCTTCTTAATGATACCTTCATATATTCTGCAACAGAGCAAAAAAGAAAGAAAAAAAGAAAGAGATAAAGAAGGAAGAGTTAGTGAAGAGATCTTTACACTGAAACAGGATATAAGAAATTCATATGTAAATGCCCCTTTAAGCAGAAAGTAGCAAATCACTTTATTGAACTAAATTCAAAATACCTCAAATATGTCAACTGCCCGAATCGCCCTTCTTCCAACTTGAAAGCTAAGGCAACAAGCGGACCAGCTGGACTTCCAGTCAATGTAACCTGCACCAGTTAAATAATATGGTATACTTCGTTCATCAGTAATCTGAAGATTTACATACCAAAAAAAAAAAAAAATCTATATGCATACCTTTTCTTCATTCTTAGATTGGTCAAGGGCATAGTTACTAACTTCAGAAGGACACGGCAAGTAGCTAAGTACACCATCAAGAAGTGGTTGGACTCCCTGTAATCACAAAGTCAGTAACAATGAACTGTAACTTCGACATAAAGAAAAAGTGCTGGAAGCCTAGAAATGGGAAAAATGTTGGAATTTACAATTTTTTCACGGAAATAAGATTTCATTTTATGACAAATTGTGGTTGAGAACAGTGGTTCTATTCAGTTCAAATTAATCAGAAAGTAACAAAGAGTTGTGCACTGGAATAGCTTGAAGCAACAGCCTTACAAAACAAAATCGTGCCCAAAATGAAAGAACCCACCTTATTCTTGAAAGCACTACCCATGAACACGGGCACAAATTTTCGTGCTACAGTAGCTCTACGGATAGCTTCCTGTGGAACAAAAACATGTGCCAGCAAAGGTTCAAAGTGTAGTTTAAAGCTAATGTTGAGGTAGATGAAAAGATAACCATACTAGGGTGAATCACATTTTAGCTTTTCTGGGATGGATAACAATTCCATACCTCGAGTTCGGTGGCTGATATAGGTTCATCGCTAAGGAATGCTTCAGCAAGGTTATCATCAACCTCCGAGACAGCTTCAATTAGTTCACGTCTCTTTTCTTGAGCTAATTCTTCAAGATTAGCAGGAATATCCTCAATCACAACATTCTCACTGCCAAGAAAAGAACAAATTTTGATGAAAAAAAACGAAGCAAATCAGACATGATCTCTAAGCATCAGCCATAGGCTAGTATACAGACCCACTGGAACCATGAAAGTAATTAGCTTTCATGTTGACCAGGTCAATGAGACCTTTGAAGTCATCTTCCAAACCAATTGGGATCTGCACGGCAGCACTGTGGTGTCGAAGTTTAGCTCTCGCCTATAGAAAGAAAAAGAAAACATGTAAGCTCAGGGTTATTAACGATTTCAAGCAGCAACCGTCATGCTCTATGCTCTATATATGTCTGCTCAATATAATTCGAGAATGCAATATGAAAACATGAAGCCTAAGATGAATGCTAAACTCGTCATGATTAACAACACGGGATGCTGAATGCTAGAAGATAAGAATAAGGTCGAATATTATAATGCATATTTCATTGTGAACAATGTCTCACCTTATTATATTATACTATGTATCTTCTATAAATAACGATCCTTCTTTTAAAAGACACGTGCACGCACGCACACACACAATTGTGGTCAGAGTGTTTTGATTATGGTACACTCACAAAAAAGGTTGCCTAATGGCCCTAACCTGATTTAGAACTCTCCATGGATCGGCCCCCATTCTATCTAGCTTATTGATAAAAGCAAGTCTTGGGACCTCATATCTTCTCATTTGCCTGTCAACAGTGATTGATTGACTCTGTACACCACCAACACTACAAAGGACAAGAATGGCACCATCAAGTACACGCAAAGCTCTCTCCACTTCAATAGTAAAATCGACATGGCCTGGTGTGTCGATTATATTAACCTGAAATTGCAGTAATACATTAAATAACCAACAGATACACCATTGTTTTCCATTATATTGCTAATTTTTTTATTACTTTCTCAGAACCAATTGAAATGAAAAGCAGAGTAAAATAATACTTCTTCAACCAAGAAGAAACTACTTTGCTTGGCTAATCCACGTCACGAATTCAATGCTTAAATCAGGGTTTTAGAAGTAAAATCATAGATGACCAAACAAGTTACATCAATTGTAGCCTATCTAAACTGGTCCGAATTATCCATCGCATAATATAGATGTCAAATAAATCAACATTCTTGGCATAATTCACACATAATTCAGGTCAAACATCACTCGACTATCGATGTCTAATGAAATAACATACCAAAGCAAAAACATCGAAATACAGAGTCTAGAAAACAGAAAAAAGATGACATTTTTTCGCTCGAGAAACGAACTTGAGCGGGATGTAAAAAACTGAATGTGAAAAGGAGTAGAACCTGATAGTCCTTCCAGTTACAGTATGTGGCAGCAGACTGTATGGTAATCCCTTTCTCTCTCTCCAAATCCATGGAATCCATCTTCGCTCCAACCCCATCTTTACCTCTGACCTCGTGAATCTCGTGGATCCGACCCGTGTAGTACAGCACCCGCTCCGTGAGCGTCGTTTTGCCGGAATCTATGTGAGCTGAAATCCCGATGTTGCGAAGCTTCTGCAGGGACTCTTTCCACCAGGCCTCCTTCTCCTCCCTAAGCCGCGCGGCGGCGGCGCTCCCGGCGGAGAAACTACGGATGTGGAAATTTCCGGTCAGCAGAGCGGCCGTGGATGCCCGCGACGGCGTGGGGCTGGCGGATGCGGTGCATAGGGAGTAGAGAAGGCGCGTCGGAGAGGATCGGGCCGAGCGTGATGCCATTTTTGCTCGCGGGTTAAACCCTGCTCAGCGGAAAGTATCAGGTAATTGAGGGTATCGAAATGGAAAAAGGTGAAGACTTTGTGTGAGTGGGTTTTACCAGGGTTTTTCAAGAGTTCCTTTGGTAAATCAGGAAATAACAATAAAGTCTAGAAAAAAAAAAGGTTTTATCTGAGCCGAGCTCGGTTTAATAAGGATAACAATAAAAAACAAGAAAAAAAATATAGAATTACTCAATCTCGTTTATCAATTGGATTACTTAATGAACCTGTCTATGCTGGATAAAAATTCGAATTTTTTACGAAAAAAAA